TTAATGTGATATATCACTTTCAACTTTCACTCCTCATTATTAGGATATTAAATTTTAACCACGTTGCATCTAGTAATCAATTCATGTTATGACTTATGAGTGCTCATTATAGTAAGTCACTCGTTTCAAACGAATAAATTCGAAAGGGAGAATTTCATTTAGTCTCCCTATAGGAAATTTATTTTAAAACGGCCCCATATAATTTTGAAATTTCACTACACCCCTTTGGGCGTAAAGCAAAATTAATTCCTAGGGTAAAAAGGCAATAATAACCTTACAAAGAGAGAAACAAGAAAAACTAATTCACAAGTGGAATATGAGAATTAATTTCTGATCAAGACAAGAGAATTCACAAGAGAAATATGACCATTTACAACTTGAATAATTCAAAATAAGTCAAGCATTTCAGATCATAAGTGGAATACGAGATTGTACAACAAATATAAGGTGATTTTTAAGAAGAATACGACCATATACAACTAAAATAAGATTATTTACAAGTGGAGTTAGAATTCACAGTAAGTCAAGAAATCAAAATTCATAAGTGGAATACTAAAATTTACAATGAAGATAAGAAAATTCATAAGAGGAGTATGACCATTTATAACTAAAATAATTCACAATAAGTGAGGGAGTTATAATTCACAAGTAAATTATGAAAATTAACAACCAATATAAGGTGATTCACAAGAGAAATATAACCATTTACAATTAGAGCAAGGGCATCTTTTCACCCACAAAATTTAATTTCATATACTCCTTTAGTCCTATTTATAAGGCAGAGAGAAGATATTTTTTGTCCTATTTATAGGACATTAAGAGAAATTTTTTTTATGGATACATAATTTTACCCTTTATTTATTATTGTGTTGACTTTATTTATATGAGGTATAATGTATATTAAACAGGGATAAAGTTAAAAATTTTGTTGAATTTTAAATGAGAGTTAATGAAATATAAAGTTTTTTTTTATCTATGTAAAATATGATGAAAATAACTTATAAATAAGACCAGAAGCATAAGTCCTTGGGTGCAGTGAAATTTTAGATTTTTTTTGGGGGCAAATAAAAATTAAGTACCCATGATCGGCTAAACTAAAATGTCCCCTTTTTTTGGAACAAATAACCTAAATTTTCCCTAAATTCAAATACTCCCCATATACCATCTTTAGTACAAAAACCTTCTAAATTTTTTTTGGCAAAAAAAAAACATTGTAATTATTTACAGTATTAAAATGTTTTGTAGGAGTTAGGTGATGCTTTTAAATTTGTTCAAATTTTAATAATTTTGTAATATTGTCTTTGAAGTTCATTAAATTATTGCTTTCTCGTCTTAATATTTCTACATTTAAATGAAAAATATATCAACGCAATAAAGGGTATTAATAAATTAATGAGTGGTTGGCAGAATAATTAGTAAAACAGTAAATTATTACGACAAATTGGAGAGGACTAAGCAACTCCTCAAGATAAAACTCTTTTTTTTTATAAAAGGTTTTATATAATATTATAAAAACAAATATCAGTAATGTCCCTTCAGTTCTATAAGAATATAAAACTCCCTTTGCTTTTTGGCAAAGGAAGGCACAATATATGGGATGAAGAACAAAAACATCTCTACTTCTAGTTCTTCTACGAAATTATTATTGATGGATCTTTCTCAAAGCTGAGAAAGGCAGCCATCAAATCTTTGTTCCTTTGGTTCTTCATCATCTGTTTTTGTCTGTGATAATAAAATATGTGTTTCTAACTTTGAGGTTTAAATGTGTAGGTTTTAATTTTGATTTTGATTTTAGTGGAGATGAAGTCCGGCATGTGTGTGTATCTGCAATTATCTTTGATTTTGTTTTGCTATTGGGAGGGAGAAAGAAGAAAGGGAGAGGGGAAAAGAAGACAATTTTCTATAGGGGCATTTCAATCTTTTTCAATTTTATTTGTGCTTTGTCAAATAGAAAATTTCATTTCAGTCTCCTTAATATTGTCCCTAGCATATTCCTGATGACCAGCATTACATTCCATTCCCAACCATTCACAATCATCATTTTGGTGATGAGACTCTAACGCTAACAAAATCAAGACATTTGGAAATTGATTTCTCTAAGGAGTTCAAGCTTTTTCATGCATATGTCATGATTGTACACATGGTACACCTCCAGCGCTAAAGTAAAAAACCTAGTCAGGATAATGGTTCTGGCCATGAATATAAGACCTTAATCTATTTGATTTCTAATATTTTAGGGAGATAATATCATATTTGTTAGAATTAAGTAATTTTCTTAACTTTTGTAATCTACACAAATAAGTAGCTCTTACATTAAGGATTAGATGAGTACCATAGACATCATAGCATTTTGCCCGGTGTATAGATGGATTAGCCTAGCAGTAAGTGCATGCGTGTTGTATGGATTTTGGTATGCCTTTCTTGATTTATTTTGGTATGGGTTTGAGATGTTGGGATAATTACATTGTGATGTAATGAGTCATGTCGTGAGTATACCAAATTAAAAACTAAGTTAAATGCAAAATATTGGCACTAACTTGTGGCATCTCACTTATTGGAGCATAAATGTGTCCTAGTAATTTAATGATAAATATCAAATTAACTAAGTGTAATGTGTGGAAAGTATTCATATGTGTAGGAATCAATTAAAGACTAAGCTAAACGATCTAATTTTTATAGTTTCCAAAACGAAATGAGTGAAGATGTGATGCAATGATATGAACATCCTAGGCAATTGAATTAACTAGCTAGCCTTCCTAGTTTAATTGGATGGAGTTCTTACTTAACTAACCACAAGCCAAGGATGTCTCCTCTGCTAACATTCCTAACTTCCAGAGTAAACCTAGACACCTAGAATTAACTTGTCCACTAGAATTGCTTTAAGTATTTAGCTTGTGTTCCCCTACAACCCTAGCAAGCTAAGTCAATTGATCTTAAGAAAACTAATAGGCGATCAATTGAATAACATATACAAGTGCTATTGTCCAATTGAATAACCAAAAGTACAAATTCAACACAAGTATATCACAGTTCAGATCATAGTAGAAATCTAGATACAATCCTCAATCCAATGTATAATCATTACAATTCGTAGTAACCTAGAAATCACAAGAAATACATAGAAATTAGTAGAAAGTGAAATTAAGATATTGAACTCCCCTATGAGCTTAATTAGGAACTCAGGCTAGCATCTCCAAGCACCCTTGGAAGGAGCTTCTAGCCACTGATGATCAAAAATCTAGCTACAAAACAGTTTAAGTGAACTTAAGCTATGGAAACCAAAGGAGTAGAGTGGGTTTGAGAGGAGAAGGTGAATGGAGAAGAATTAATCGATTGAATTATGAGAATCAGGGAAAGTTGGTGTAGGAATATGGTAAGTTGAGAGACAATGAGGGAATCAATCTGAAAGAGGAGAAAGTGAAAGCTAGAGGTCTCCCCATGAGTTCGCACATTTTGGAATTAAAATCTAAATTTTCGCTCGTTTGCCGTAGTGAATGCCATGATGAATGCTCCCAAAACAACATTGTTTGGTTAAGTGTTTCACTTCCTTCAGAAATGCTCTATTCGCTGTAGTAAAGAGCATAGAAAATACAACCGATGAGCGTTGTCCACATGGTACTTGCATATTGAAATTAAGCTCATAGTCAACCAAGCACAGGGGAGAATCATATGTTAATCACAGTTATACCTAAAATCTATCAAAGAACACAGTTATATGCTAAATAAACAATAATACCCCTAATGCACAATAACTTCTAACTTAGCCCATATTAGATAATTGCAAGTGACAAAAGACCAAGTTTAGATAGAAGAATATATGAAAATAATGAGACTTATCATGATGAAACGCAAGTATTTCAAATCCTTGATGTCTTTGAATCTATCCTGGCCTTTGCTTTCCTTATGGCATGCGCATGATTGGTCCATGGGTGCGTGTAAGCAAATATTTATCATAATGTCATTAGTTGTATGGATATATTTTGGTTTGTAGTAAAGAGTAACACGCACCCTTGTGTTAGTCTATGAGTTGTTACAATATTGGTAGCGTATAATTTTGGATTAAATTTGTAGGCAAATGACATTCTTGTGGTGATGCTTGGATTGAATTAATCCAAAAAAAAAAAGCCTTTTTTTTAATATTACTATCTACATTGAATTTTGAAAGGTGTAGATTGCATTATAGTGATGAGTACAGGATGCTCATCGTTATGCTCATGAATGAGGATCCTTATTTGAATTGGGAAAAGAAAACTCACTAATTACAAATTTAAGATCTCATATTTAATTATTTTTTTTAGTAATTTAATTATAGGCGTTGCTTCTTGAACCAACACCCGCTGGCTCTACTGGTATCACACAAATGGTGCGCTAGTATCCACATAAGTAAAATTCTTTAGTTTGAGGTTGGATCATTGATAAGATTTTTCACGTACCTCTCTAATTTTTTTTATAAGTCATAATAATATTTTTAAATGGTTTCACTTATTATTGTAGTGGAAACCATGATCTAATGTTTTTTTTTTTAATCGAAACAATGCAACTTTAAAAACTGGAATATGTTAGGGATCACATGCATGATATTATTTTGCTATTAAAGCTTTTGCATTGGTTATAGAGAGGACATTTTAAGCTTTAAATAAAGCTCTAATCCATGATTATTGGAGGTATAAATAATAAATTATTACTTTTTAAATTGTGCCTATATATGCATTCCAGTTCTTTATACATTGAGTATGTAATCTAATGTACAATTTTTTCTTCCCCTATGTAGGGAAGAAAAATAATGTAAGACAACATTTTCTTTTGTTTTTTTTTTTAAAAGAAAAAGGCAGTCTCACAATTTATGTATATAGATTATACAAAGATAATTTGATAAAGTAAAACTATTGCCATGAGATGAAAGGAGCATAATTTGTAAACAGAGAATCTTTAGCTCAAAAATGTTTAAGTCAGGCCCTTTAAGTTATTCTTGTCAAAACATCGCCCCCGACAACAAAAGCTTCAAGGAGAATAATCATTACTGAGAGATGAATAGACTCAAATATGACATGTTTGGTTGCTGAGTGTTTGCAGGAAAGTAAGGTGAAAATAACAAAATTTCAACATTAAATTTTCACCAGGAATCCACTTTTCCTAATTTCCCCATCAGCCACCAAACACAACATCAAAGCTGACCCAAATCCCCACTTTCAAATTCACTCAGCAAGCTACAGTTCGAGACAAAGAAATACACCAAAACCCCATGGAAAAAAACCAAGCTAACCTTCATGTTGGATAGAAGCACCAGTAACTCTATAAATGACTTTGAATTCAACTCGGGAGGAAACATAATACAGTGGGCCTTGAGATCGGAAGCTTAGCTGGTAACATCAGCTTGTACTTGGTGCCTCCACAAGCCAAAGGTAGATGCTCGATGTTAGAATTTTGCTGTGACATCAGTTTGCAGGAAAGGAAGGTGAAAATAACAAAAGTTTAACATGAAATTTTCGCCAAGAATCTACTTTCCCTAGTTTCCCCCTCAGGCACCAAACACAACATTAAAGCTGACACAAATCTGCCTATTTCAAATTCACCCAACCAACTGCATTTCGAGACAAAGAAATACACCAAAATCCCATGAAGAAAACCAAGACAAGCTTACCTTCATGTTGGACAGAAGCACTGGTAACTCTAGAAACAACCATGGACTCAACTTAGGACTCTAGAAACAACTTTGGACTCAACTCAGGAGGAATCGTAATACAGGGCGACCTCGAGATTAGAAGCTTAGCTAGCAACATCAACTTGTACCTGGTGCCTCCACTACCAGAGGTAGATGCTCTGCAGTCAAAATTGTGCCGTGATCCGGGCTGAGTTAGATAGTTAAATGCCACAATATCGAAATCTGAAGGTTGGAGCTATGAAGAGGAGTGATTAGCAGCCTTCGTTGTTGGTCGATACTAGTGAGAGAGCGAGAAGGAGGAGAGGGATAGTCAAAGCAGAAGGAGCAGGGGCTTGTCATACAAAGGAGGATGGTGACTTTCGTGGTGGCCAAGAAGCAATGGTGAGGATGACCAGGTGAATCAGTTAAGAAGGTCTTCAATGATTGCTTGTTCACACATTACACAAGTAATAACAACTTTGCAATATAATATTAACACAGTGAAGTTCATGTTACTAATAGACATTTAGATGATGGAATAACCTAATCAGTAATTAAGTCAACTTTCTTTTCATCATCGACTTCCTTGGGGATGGCAAATAATACAGCTAGAGGTACTATTCTATCTACTTCTTAATTAGCCTTTTCTTTTATTTACGTTTTTTCATACTTAGCTAATATTTGTTTCTGCTTCTTACGTTGCAAACTGAATTATAACTTCTCTCTGTGATCTTCATCATAACGGTGGTTTTAGTTCTTTTTTTCTGTAAATTTTAAGAAGCTTTTCTAGTTTTCAATGGGAACTTTATTTTTATGTTTCATTTAGGTTACTTATAGAAAATATTTTTATCTTAATATGTATGAAAATTTTTAATTAATTTTTATAATTGTAAAAAATAATTATGATTCTTATAAGTGGATTTTGAAGTGTGTAATTAAATATTTACATTTTAGTTATAGAAGCTCTCCGGGCAATTTACCGTGAAGCTCTAGTCAGTCTTTATATAGCTAGAAAAGTCTAGTCTAGAAGCTGCTTACGTGGATTCTACAAGGGCACATCATAATGTGTTGACAAATGGCATTCAGGGCACAGAGAAAATGAAACAACTAAATCCCACACACACACTCAAGAGGTGTACCTGAAAATTAAAACTATTTTTGACGCTTTCCAAGTTATTTTTGGCTAGATTTTTTAACTTATAATAAAAGAACTTACATTAATAAAAAATTAAAAAAACGATAAACAAAAAAGTAAAATTAGATCAGTTGGTTCCACGGTGAATTGATAAATTAAACACTAGCTCAATCCAAAAAAAAAACCTCAAAATCATAATATTCAAAAATGGGTAAAAAAATCAATAAAAAAAATCAACCCTAGTAAAAGTGATAAGGAACTAACAAATTGATAAGGAACAAATTATGAAAAAGTAAAAAAGAGATGAAAGTTCCAAGAAGCAAATCAAGGGTACAGCATGGAGAGAGAAAAAACTTCGTGGAGAGAAATGAGAGAGCCTACGTTGTTGGGTTTTGGACTCTTCCTATGTAGAGAAATGTCCACTATTTGAAACCCATTTGAGTCTCACTTCTTAAAGCGGAGAGGGGCAAACTAGGGTTAAGGGAGAGGGGTATTATTGAAAGAAAAAGAGCAGCCATTTGAGAGAAAAGAAGAGAGAAAGCTATTTTTGTATCTTCACAGGACAGTCTCAGTAAATAAGTACTTACATATTTGTTAACTGTTGGATCAATACTGAAATTTCATCAGGAGGTTCACAACATCCAATATGTCATTTTCAAGTGAGAGATATTGAGTTCTTCCCATAATGGAACTCAGGTTTTCTTTACTCTGGATGACCTGTGATTTTTACCATTACATTAAAGGGTTTTCCACATTAATAATTTTGGTGTCTCTGCCATATACTTACTTTGTTTCTTCAAAGATTTTTGCAAGTATTGAGAAAATATTCTCACTACCTATAAGCCATAGGCATAAGTTGTGTGTTTTTCTCATCACAAGAAAAAAGAATAGCTTCCGAAAAGATAACAAGTATTCCACCTTAGCCTGCTAACGATGAATCTTTTGAAGGACTCCTAGCTGATTAGTAGGAAGGGAAAAAAAAAAAAAGAGAGGAGAGAACAGACAAGTGAGGAAAGTGAATATTCAATAGACAACTCTAATTTAATTGAATTTTCAAAAGGATTTATCAAAACTCCATTGTCTTTGGATGGGAACATTGAACACTATGAATCTCATTTTTAATAGTTTAATATTTTAATGTGTAGATAATCTAAATAAATATTATCTCTTAACTGTGAGTTTTCGCCCAAAAAATTTTATTTAAAATCTATCAATTGAAAATTTTAAATTTAAACCACTGAAACTATTTTGGATGGTATAAATCTCACTACAATGATGCGAACCAAAAATGACTCCAACAAATATGTTGTCGTTATGGTAGTTCATGGGTTCAGTTAAGATTTTAAGAAGGATATAAGGGAGGTTTGTTTAAGTAGTTGATTATGTTCAAACATATATGGATTTTTTTTTTTAAGTAAACGATGACTTTCGAAGCTATTTATGGTTTTGAATAAGTGTCTCTGGATGAAGGAAGTATATATGTTTCAGTGGTTTATAATAATATTCAAAACTTAATGTTTATTTTCATTATTGGAAGTGTATAGCATAGTGTGGTTGAATGGCCAATGGTGGATGTATGAAGTTTTTGCTGGTTTGAACTGGTGCCTGTTTTTTTCTTTGGGTTTATTATAGTTGGTGTAAGGTCCAGGTGTGATTTTGCTGATCTAGGCTGGTGTCTTTATGCTATTATGCAACTCCAAATTATTATAAATCCTTTTCTGCTATCGTAATACTCCTCCGATCCTAAATATAAGACCCTTATACACTAATATAAGGGTCTTACATTTAAGACCGGAAGAGTATTATGTTACATTTTATTATTTTAAGATTGCATGGTTTCCTTTCCGTTAACATTGTATATCTTTTAATACTATCTATGATTTTTAATATATGAGTTAGTTGGTCATTTAACTTAGTCCTAAATAAGGCAATGACTAATGATTTAAAAGCCAAATCGGACCGGATGGTCAGACCGGTCTGGCCGGCAACTGCTAAGTTGAACGGCTCGTTTTTTATGTTTGGACCATTTGAGGGGTTGGACTGTGTTGACCCACTCAAAACTGGACTTTAGCTGGGAGCCGAATTTGAGCCGCGAACAGGAATGATTTTAACAAAACTGGACAGTTCATGCTTGTTTTGAAAAAAAAGCAAAATGGAATGGTTCAGCCTGTGAAGAGGAAGGAGATGGGGAAGAATGAAGGGGAGATAGTAAGAAAGAATATTACAGATCAACGATTATACCTCTTTTATCTTTCGTAATAGTGGAAAATGGATGATAGTTGATACTTGGCAAGCACTAATTAACATAACAGAAGTACAAAAACGGAACAGGGGTGGAGGCGGATGAACAACGTCGGCGGCCATAAATTGAAACCTGAAACAAAGAAGAAAACCCCTGTGAATCAAGTAAGATTTAGGTTAGGAAGCTGCTAGTAAATAAATGGGCTCTTTTTTGGGCCATCCACATCTTTTTTTTTGGGGGTGTTAAGAGAAATATAAAACAAAATCAATTAAACTAACAGGAAGAAAAAGCTTCGCAGCTTTTGTCCTACTCCTATCCTTTTTTCCCCATCATATGTCCTATGCCTATTCAGGTATTTTATCTTTAATAAGTAGAAGAATTATGTATTAGATAAATATTATACATATAAATACCTCAAAATTTCCACTCCCATATTTTGAAATTTTTGAAAAAATGTTCAACACGGTACAGAATGCTTGGCTTTGTTAATTTATTCTTTAATCTTTAATTTCTTTTTGAAATTTCATTATTATATTAGGAAATATTTGTTCATAATAATTATTTTTATTTATCTTTTAAATTCTATTTTAATTTCTTTTATGCAATATGTTGTTAATCTACTTTGTTTATTTTGTGTATGACTATTTATTTTTTAATTTATTGAACACTTTATTTTTACATGCATTATATACATATATAATATATTTTATTTACTTATTACATTACCGGTTCAACCATTGGTGCGACCATTCGAACCATAAAAACAGTGATCCGTTGACATTTCCGTCTCGATATCCAGTCCGGCTTTTAAAATATTGGCCATGACTCACTTTGTCTCCAATATTTATTCATTTTGCTCTCAAATAATTCTTATAGTAATACACATGTAAAGAGTTTTCAATAAGAGTAACTTCAATGCCCGTGATTAATAGGGGTATTTGGAGAAAAAATATTTTTTATTACAAATAACTAACTTATTTTCTTAATATTCACAAATTAGTTATCTAATTTTTATATTAAGAACCATAGATAGTACATATTGGGCTTTAATCTTTTTTATCCATTAAAATTAAGGGAGAATTACAATCAAGTCCCATATAAGAGAAATAAATACTAAAAAGTTTAATAACAACCTAAGCAGCCTGTAATAACAAGTTCTAGAGTGGAGAATAACAACTTTTAAAACTTGTTTTGTAATTTTTTTTTCTTACATGGGACCTCATTGTAATTCTTCCTAAATTAATGTCAAACTCTTCATGCCATGATATAGTTTTGTTTTAAGGGATTTAAATTGTTACATACCATGGTGTAGCGTAAAAGTATGTTAGAAAAATTGAGGTGTTACACAAAACTTCACACAATTGTAAACTGGATTCAAGGACTCTTTGGATGTCCAAAATGGAAAAAATTGGGGGAAAAAAGAATACAAATATAAACTTTTGGATGCAAAAAATGTTTAAAAGAACCATATAAGTTGACAAAGCCTCTCATGTTGGTGTATTAAAAAAAAAATTAGTTCAATACAAAGTAAATCAATAATGATATATGAATTGATTTTCTATTGATATCACATCAATTTTTAAATACTAAATGAATAATAATAAATTATTTTAATTTTATTTAACATATCGAGTTATTTATTATTAAAAAAAATTTATTGTGATCCAAGAAAAAATGTAAATTTAGTTTAGATGCCAAAAAAAAAAAGGAGCGTTGACATTATTTTTCAAAAACCTTTTAAAAAAACAAATAACCTCAAATACAACTAAAAGTTTGGATAAAAATAACCAAAAAGAGTAACTAAAGTTCTCCAAAGTTATGAATAATTGCAGTTTGCTAGAATGGTTGATTACTCAAGAAGAGTGAATTGGGTGTTGATTAAAAACAAAATTTTTTTTGCAGTATAATGAAAACCATAAGAAACTCAAGAGTATAAAAATAACGAACAAAAACAGCTTAATCAGATAAGTACAATAGTTTAGTTGAAAATATAAAGAGGTAAGAGAAGAGAAGATACAAACTGTGATTTATTCTGGTTTGGTCTCTCAATAGATCTACGTCCAGTCTCCACGCTCCACCTGAGATTTTCAATCCACTATCCCATCAACTTTTAGTCAGGTATTTGAAAAACACTACAACTCCCTCAAGTTTTCCACAGTTACTTAAAAACTACTACAATGCATAAAAATCTCACACAGTCCTCCCTTACACTTGTAAAGATTCACTTCCTCTTACATACCGTAAGATTACAATCCGATGATTAGAACGAAACTCAAATAATTCTTCTCTCAAAGAAGTGACAACTGACTCTCAGGCACATAGGAAACTCTCTTTTCTATCTCACAATTATATGTGCATAATCCCTGAAGCACAAGGAAAGAGAGTATTCTCTTGGAACTCTAAATAAAGATATGTTGATTCGGCATTTCAGCACTTTGACATTACAAGCTCAGGCTCTCTTCTTTACTCTGACTTCGAATGCTCTTTATATTTATAGTTGATATTGGGTATTTGATCATTGAGTATCTTTTTCTCGTTTAGCTTGAAGAATATAACTGTTGAAACTAACTATTGGAAACTTCTAATATAAAGTAGCTAACCATTGTCACTTTTTCCGTTGAGCCTTTAATCCTACAATAATCTTGCTCAAAGCATGTCATAAGTAGCTTATCAATTCATTAAAATCAAAGGATGATCATGGCCTTGAATTAAAATACAAAATCCTTAAGTTATCCAAGAGATTAAATTTGTCAGACTAAATA